TTCTAATAGTATTTTTGTTTGCCATCTATTTTCAGACCCTATTTATGGCTTTTCATTAATCAGTTCTCTCGAGAATCTGGAAATTCTTGAGAATTCCTCCAATTTTGTAGACATTAGCGACGAAACTCTTCTGGCGATTGTCTCGAAGTGCCATAAACTTCGGGAACTACTGCTCGCGCTTAACACTCGCGTCACCGATCAGTCAATCGCTCAAATCCCACAACATTTGCCACAATTAAGCAAACTATGCATTACTGACACTAAAGTATTGATTGCTTGAAACAAATGCATTGAAAGTAACAATTAATTTCGCAAATTCTTGTTTCTATAGATATCGGACTACTCTCTGGCAATACTATCGGAATTGAAATCATTAGTCTATTTAGACATAAGCGGTTCCAGTGGTGTGACCGACGCGGGCGTCGAGTCAATGGTCGACGGCTGCCGTACGCTTGAATTCATGCAATTGAATCGATGCGAAGCCGTCACCGCCGAAGCGCTCAGATTCTGTGTCAAAACCATTACCGATAGCGAAGATAGGGATCTATTCGCGGATCTCGTAGTCGTTTATAACGGCAATCGGTTTGACGTCAAAAACAAGACACTCAAAGATTGCGATGAATTGTATTTACAAAGAGATATTTATTATGATTACGATTACGAGGATTACAGGGATTGCGACGATTACACCGTCGATGACGACGACGAAGATGACAACGAAGAGCTCCCAATTAATGTGTTTTACAGTTAATCACTTTCTAATCAATTAATCTCAGACCGAATCTAATGCACGATATATTTATACATTTGATAATAATATTTCTATATTTGATAATTTTGTTAGAATTAATTTTTTATAATTTAAAAATATTAAATAAAGTAATAATTTTTGACGAATAAGATATTTATCCATGGTCCAATACTTAAAGCACTTCCGATTGTTTGCAAAACACTCGACAGTAACTAAGACACGATAACCAATAATTTATAAGAATAGTTCTGTATTTAAATACAAATTAAATTATTGATTAGGTAAAAGTTATACTTTTAAACTATTTTTTAGGGCCAGTCATAACGCATACACTTTACGAAATAGCGTGTTGGTTCCTATATTTTCCATTAGCATGATGGTAGAGTTTGGGAAATACACATGGTTATTTCCACTCTATGTATTCTCCTAAACCCTTAGGTGTGGATTAAATTGAATAGATCTAGACTGCATTTTTTGGGTCCATTATTTTCATAAACCTCATAATGTGGAAAATTACTTGACTATCATGTAATAGAAATTACCAGCATGCTAATGGTAACATAAGAACTAGCACACAGTTTGGTAAAGTGTATGCGTTATGACTGGTCCTAAAAAATGGTTTAAAAGTATAACTTTTGGACATAGTTTTTATAGTAAGTTTCAGACAGGCTTATAATTAAACACAATATGGCATGAGTATTTTTTACCATTTACTAATCATCGTGTTTGAATTGCCACATAAATAATTTACAAATAGTTTTCTTTTCATTAAAATTTATTTAATTTATTAAAATTTCAGTTCATTTAAAAAACATTGTGTAAAATATTAAACTATTTATATATTAATATAATTCTGGTATAAATATTCTTGAGTTGTATTGTAAGGAAACACTTTGTGTTTTGATTTAATGGTATAATAAATATTGTGAAAAATTCTAAATAAACAAATATTCTTATCGTTGTTGTAATGAAAAAATATTATGCAAACTAAGAGTATAATAGAAAATTGAGTTTTCATGTTATAAATATATATAAATCACGGGATAATAGAAAAATTGCTTTAAAATCTATCGACATATTTCTTTCGACACATTTCTGGTCCGATCGTCAAAAATATATACAAAATACATATGTGTTGTAAAACAGGAGTGAATTGAAAGCCAACAGCAATAATGTTAAACACGTTTGAATCCAATACCAGGCGTTTAAGTTAATACTAGCGGCGGATGTGATCTCAAATGGATATGTGTCGCGACA